AAAAAGCAAAAACAAATATAAAAATACCCCACGATTTACCATGACAGTAAAAAATTAAAACTTAAGTCAATCCAACCCAAAAATATATATGAATATGAATGATAAACTTTATGATGTAACATTTTATTTTAATGATGAGAGATCTGATAAATCATATTTGCTAAGAAAATTGAATTTGATTCGAGTTTATATTATTTCTATCCATTAAAGCAAATTTAGGGTTAAGACTAAACCCCTAGTTTTTTAGAGCTAACTAACAATGCGCATTAGAGTCATGGGACTTTAAATAAAGGGTAGAGGCGACCATGGAAAAATTTAAAAGCATAGGGTAAGATTAAAAGCACAGTAGCTTTAAAAATAATTAACCAAGCTTTTTTAATATACAAAAACTTATGTACATCTTTCATTTTAGATGACATTTAATTTATAGTGAAACTTGTTTCAGGTTCTTTTGATTAGTTTAGTACTTCTAATATATTTTTCTGTCTTTTTCATAATATTTTAGGATGAATTAAGGACATGCGTTTGAGAGTGATTTTGGTATTGCCAAAATAATTTTTTCTATTTTATAAATACTTGTAAACGTTACTTTTTTAAATGGAAGTGATTTTTTATGGAAACATATCCTCGTGTGGAACCTTTATTTTTTCTAGTGTAATTACAGTGAAACATAAAAAAAAATCTTAACATCGCATAATGAGGAGTCGGAGATATAGTTGTATTAACGGTTCCTAATTATCAAACAACATAAATATCCATTGGTGCACTGGTTTCAACTCCATTACCTAGTTCATATGGTTGGAGAGAAACAATCGTATTTTCTCTATTGTATATAGAATAACAGCTACCCTTTGGGATGATATCAAAAATCATCTAATTCGACAATCTTTTGTAATTATGACAATTCATTCCCACCATAAAGCTAGCCTACTCCTAAATGTTTTCTCACATACTTTTTGAATGAATGGTAGGTTGTGTTCCTTTCAGATTAAAAAAAATATATTCGAAAATATAATAAACAACCAGAATACGACACTTGTAAAAAGCCCGTCCCACACAATCCTATCCTACTTAAGACATATTATGTTATGATCCTATAATTAATGAATAAATTATTCAAATGAAACTATGGTAAAATCATTTCCATTATTTTTATTAGTACACATTGGGATTCGAACTTACACCGTCTTAGTCGGAGATAGGTATCTTAATAGCTACGCTCAAGTTGGCACGGTCACCCATTATTAATGAATATAGAGTTATAAAGTAAATTCTCGATTTTTTCTTTCATCCAATAATAATTTCTGGATACAAAGAGGTGAATGGGGTGAAATGGAGGCATATATTCTTTACCTTGCGGCTACGGTTTGTTTAATATTGTAATGATTTTAAATGTACCCTCTAAGATTTTGCTGCTTCTTCTTTACAGAAAGTATCTAAATTCTCTGGTGCTGTGATTCTGAAGACTAATCTCTCTTGTCACTTTCTCCACAAGGACTAATTGGAATTTTGAAATGATTCTTAATTATCTTTGCTAGCTCCCAGCTTTGTACAAACAAAGTTTTATGACTTTATTTTCTATTTCATTATCATAGTTTAATCATCACTTAAAATAAAGGGTTGATTAGACGATTATTAATATTCACCTTAATTATCCTTCATAAATATTTTTATTTTGGAGAGAAAGATTTCTTCATTTATATATTTTAAGAAATAGGTCATATATAAGACACTGAGCTTGTTTGAGAACAATTTTAGAAGAAATGATTTTAGCAAAGGAAATTTTAATGATAATTGATATTGTGAATGCGATTTTTATATAGTTATTTTAATGTTCGGTTGCACATTTTTTTCAAGTGATTTTTGTATAATTAAAAATGATTTTGAATTATTAATATTTAAAGTTTAAATAGAGAATTTGAACAAATTTGTAGAGAGAGACAAAAATATGAGAGAGAGAAATTGTAGAGAATGAGAGACAAAAATTTTAGATAGGAAAATAAACTTAGAAAAAGAGATGAGAACTATTAGAGAGAGAATAGAAAAAATTAGAGAGAATAAACAAAATTAAAGATAAATAAAAGTAGGGAGTGACAAAAATTTTAGAAAAGAAAAAAAATTCTCAAAATTTAAGTTGAAAATGAGGGGATAGAATGACAATTTTGTAAATTAAAACAATAGCCAATTTAAAAATTATTTTTCTATTAATTTTTTTGGTCAACAATCACTCCAAGTTACTTATTTTTTATTTTTCCAAAATCATTTTTTTTAAGAAGAAGAGGTACCATATTTCATTAAAAGTATGTGAGAGACATACGTGCAAAAGAGGAGACCTAGAATTAAGAAAAATAGTATATATATCGTAAATACAAAAGAGATCTGATTGTGAGGACCAAGTAGATGCAAAGACAATAATATCCTCCCATAAACTATTTAGAGATTTATAAATGTCTCTAAAGGTTCGGTTGTTTCTCTCCGATGACACACCAATAGCATTTATCCACATAATCAGTCTTCTGCTTTTTATGGAATAGATAGACAATCAATAATATTTTTTCCAAAATCATTTCATCAATCATTACCCAATAATATTGTATATTAAAAATTAAAGTGATTTTTTTAACATAAGTAAAAAATGATTCTAACCATGTCAAAATCACTTTCAAATATGCTCTAAAGTAACTAAATACGAAAAACGACCTTGAAAAGAAAGTTTCTCAAACATCACGTCTTTATAATTTATAGATTCTGTTATGGAAAAAATTGTATATTAAGAATTAGATTCCCAACAAACCCTAATTGTATTTTTTTTTCCTTTCCTGATTACCCATGATTTTATTTTCTTTTCACATGCTTCCATCACATGTAACTCAATATTAAAACTTACTAGAAAATAATGAGTTCTCTAAATACCGTTATAAGTGGACCACATATAAATTATGATTATGAGATTATACATAAATTGAGAACTGAGTTATACTCGGATTGACGACTTCGTTAACCATTTTTAAAATAAAATCTGAAAACAAAAGGGTAATTAACAGACGACAAAGATGGTGAAATATGGACCTACTAAATCATGTGTTTCACATAAAGCTCAAATCCAACAGCACATTCTTTTCTTCAGACAAGAAGAAATTTGGTTTCCTTCAGACTCTTTCCCTTTTCTTTCTCTGCTTCTCAACAGTTTTTTGTGTATAAATACAGGCTTACAATTCCTTCTAACAACACAAGCAAACAATTTTTCTCTCTTTTCTTCTTTCTCCTTCCTCCTTTTTTTTTCATCCGCAACATGGAAACCACCGCACACAAGGTTCCCGCCGCTGCACCGGCCTTGCTGCATTCTAAGCAGCCATCCGTCACCAAGGAGGAGTTGAGCAATATGAAGCATTACTCCGACGACCTCGTCACCGGGCACATTTACGCTAAACATCGCGACGACGACACAACCAAAATCGACCTCCCTAACTACATCTCAGTCATCGAGGGCATCATCGCCACCGCTGATCGAATTACTGAAACTGTTCATCGGGTAAAACTACTATTATTCATGTACACATATGAATTTGTTTGGTTTCATTTAATATTTTAGAGTTTCGTCTTGTAAAAATGAATGATGATCATATACCATTGTAGGGAACTGAAGGGAGGTTGGTACATTCAAACGACTCCTTGGCATCCAGTGTTGTGATTGAGCCTCCACTTTGTACTCTTCACCGTATCTCCAGCGAGGTCATAATTCATACAAATTTGATCATTATATATAACTCTATTAGATAACATTCTTGTTTTACTTTTTCACTTTTTTTTTAGTCACACTTTTTCTTTGTTCTCGTTTTTTTTTTAAAGAAATCTAGGAATTTTGCAACTAATTATATTTCTTGTTTCTCTCAGGGAACATTCTAAAAATTTTATAGAAATTTTGAAAACAATAAAAACAAGTTTCTTTTTTTTCTGGTTTGTTTTATCATATTTGAATTCTTTGGATTTGCGGTTATGCAATTCATTTTTCTTTATTAAAAATGAATAAACAGAAATAAGAAACAAGAACTTTACCAAACGAGCCCTAACGTTTGTGTTTCTTGTTTCTTGTATTTCCAATTTTATTAAGAAACTTAATTATTTGGCTACTATTTATATTTCTTATTTGTTGTTTTTTAAAAATATTCTCAAAAGTGTAAGAAATTTTGGAAAGAACAAAATCAAGTTTCTTATGTCTTGTTCCATTTCCAACTTATTTCAAACCATAAATAAAAACATTATTTTATCATATTTGAATTCATGGGTGTTAGAAGTCATGCAATTCTATTTTTCTTTATTAAAAATAAAGAAACAAAAACAAGAAACGGGAGCCCGTTACCAAACTGCCTTAAAAGCTATAGATTTCAAGGTTATATCAAATTAAAAGAAAAAACCCACTTTTTGAAAATCTCTAGCAATTTTGAAAAACACAAAAAAGAACTACTTTTAAACTTCTATCCATTTTAGTATATATACATGGAACTGATAGTTAGAAAAATGTTATTATATTCCTCAGTTGTCATGCAAGGCTCCAGGAATTGAAAAAGCACACGAAACCACAATAGAAATCTTCGAAATATTGGCAAATTATCCATGGGAGGCCAAGGCAGCTCTCACTTTGACAGCCTTTGCAGCAGACTATGGAGACTTATGGCATCTCTACCATTACTCCCAAGCTGATCCATTGGCCAAATCATTGGCAATTATCAAGCGAGTTGCTTCCTTGAAAAAGCACTTGGACTCACTTCGATACCGACAAGTGCTTCTTAGCCCCAACAGTCTCATCCACAGCTGCTTGAAAGCAATCAAATACATGAGTCAAATTAGAGAATTCTCCAAATATGATGTCAAGGAACTTCCTGAATTACCTTCTGCTCTTCGCCAAATTCCACTGATCACTTACTGGGTTATACACACCATTGTTGCTTCGAGAATCGAGATCTCGAGCTATCTCAGCGAAACCGAGTAAGTATTTTTGTTGAGATATCTCCATAATCTATTCGCTAAAACTTTTAAGTTTATTGGTAATTTAAGAAGTTTGAGATAGTTTCAGAGCATGAGGTTTTCAAACTTTTATACTGTTATTTCCTCTCCGTCGAAACACTTTTTTTTAATACTAACAGGTGGAGGTGGAGAATCAAACTCATAACCTCTTGGTTGGAGATATATGTCAATTACCGATAAACTATACTCGTTTTGATATCTCTCTATCGAAACTGTAACTTACTTTATTAATTCAATATATATGTTTGTGGTTGTTTTATTTCAGGAACCAGCCACAGAGATATTTGACTGAACTATCTGAAAAGATGGCCATTGTACTCGCTGTACTTGAAAAGCATCTAGAAGCCATTCGAGAACAACATGGTTCTTCATTTATTGTGATGTTATATTATTGATTATTTGTTAACCAAATTTTGGTGTGACATGAAAAATAACATAGTATTTTGTTGTGTCTGATCGCAGAGGAGGTTGATCTCTACCGCTGGTTGGTTGACCACATCGAGCATTATCACACTGACATTACAACAGTTGTTCCTAAGCTGCTCAGTGGCAAGGCCGAAACCAGGCCACTCATTGATGGCTCTTCCTTAAGAGAGGTCTCTGTTATATCATCGATCATCATGTAATGTTAAGATATCTATAAATGATTAAATTTATTCTAATCCGTAAGCTTTATGTGTTAACAGATTGGCATTCAGGAAAGTTTGTCGGGGAAGAACGTGATATTGGTAATTTCGGGGTTGGATATCTCAGATGACGATATCAAAGCTCTTCATCTGGTTTATAATGATTTGAAAAAAGACAACAGGTATGAGATTGTTTGGATTCCAATCATCCCGGAGCCTTATCATGAAGATGATCGAAAGAGATATGACTACCTACGGTCTGCAATGAAGTGGTATTCCATACAATTTACTACAAAAATTTCTGGCATGAGATATATTGAGGAGAAGTGGCAACTTAGAGAGGATCCATTAGTTGTTGTACTTAACTCACAGTCTAAAGTGGAGTTCACAAATGCAATTCATCTGATTCGAGTTTGGGGAACTGAAGCAATTCCTTTTACATATGATAGAACTGAGTTTTTGCTGAGAAGAAACTGGCCTGAGTCAACCCTCATCAAATTCACTCACCAACCAAGACTAAATAGTTGGGTACGTATAATATGCGATCAATTAATGCATGTATTTTCTATTTGTTTTTGTCAAGGATTTCAAGGGATCTTATAAAGGTTTTATAATAAACATGTTTGAGCTATTTCACTCCTAGTCGATTGGTTTTGAGATGAAACTACATGAATATTAATATGGTATCAGAGTACAAAAATGTTCAAACAAGTATCCGGTCCAAAAATGAGATCCGACCAAGATCAATGAGCCAAGAGAGCCATGATCTTGAGGGGCTGAGCATGTTAAGGAACCCACGACCTTACAAAGGTTTATAATAGACATGGACTACTCTTGTCCTAGCCAATTAATAGTTTCTACATATTATATATCCTATAAATGATTATGTTGGGATTGTAAGGAGAATGCGAACAAAATACCACATTGTCTAGGATCTCTATTGATATGAGACATTTTGGGTGGAACCAAAAGTAAAGTCGTGAGGGTTATTTCAAAAGCGGACAATATCATACCATTGTGGAGATACTCAGATAGTAAAGGTACCAGATATGTTGTCCTTAACCAGCATAAGCTTTTGGATTCATTGGGAACTCCTGTATTGTCGTTTATTTGTATGGATTAAATTTACCCTAACCTATTAGTTTAAAACTAATCTATTTTGTTTTGATTTTCAATTAGATCAACCAAGAGAGGAGCATTCTATTCTATGGAGGAAAAGATCCCAACTGGATCCAACAATTTGAAGAGAGAGTAGACATTTTGAGAAACGATCCTTTGATAATCGAAGGACGTTCATTTGAGATTGTGCGMATTGGAAAGGATGCAAGAGGAGAGGATGATCCTGCACTCATGRCTCGTTTCTGGACCACACAATGGGGCTACTTTGTAGTGAAGAGCCAGATCAAAGGCTCAAGTGCGAGCGAGACAACTGAAGACATCTTAAGGCTGATTTCTTACCAAAATGAAGATGGCTGGGTTGTTCTCACTGTAGGCTCAGCGCCCGTGCTCGTCGGTCGCGGCGTTTTGGTTCTACGATTGCTCGAGGACTTCCCCAAATGGAAGCAAACTCTGCGCTTGAAAGGATTCCCTGATGCTTTCAGAGAATACTTCAATGAGTTGGCTGTGAACAGCCACCAATGCGATCGAGTTATTCTTCCAGGATTCAGTGGATGGATTCCCATGGCTGTCAATTGTCCTGAGTGCCCTCGTTTCATGGAGACTGGTATTAGCTTCAAATGCTGCCATGGTGGCACTCATATGTGATCATCATTCATCAATCCTTCTAAGCTTCCAGAAGTCATTTCTGTCCTTTGATTATGTTCTATTACTACTATGCTAAGACTGCTACAATAAATGATGCTATTTGTTTGCATCGCATGTTCTATGTTTTTTCTGTTTAATTCGAGACCTATGGTCTCGTTAGCTATCATTTGTTTGACGTCTTTGAATGTTTTATGTTATTTAATATATATCTACTTCAATCATCATGTAATATATTATTGTGTCTTACTATTATCAATTTTTAAATCTTTGTTTGGTATCTTTACCACCTTCCTGGATGTCGAATGTTTTCAATCCCTCACCCATATTTATTGTACTAAAAAAAGAAAGGAAAAAACATCTCTCTCGCTCAATCTTTCATTATATGAAAAACATAACATAGGCAGATAATCTAAAATTGACAAGAGAAGTAGGAACAAGTTTTATGTGTTAATAAGGATTAGAGTGGAGGAGGTTTAGAGATATTTCTACTTTTAATCAAGCTATGCTGGCGAAACAAAGTTGGAGACGGATCAAAACTCGAATGGTCTAGTGGCGGCACAAGTGTTAAGAGGGAAGATATTTCACAAGTGGCAATTTTTCTGAGAGTCAAATTAGGTTATGACTCAGATGATGAAGTCATTTAGGGCCTGGACAAGAAGGATATTTTTAGAGTTAAAAATACCTATAGATTGAGAGTCAATTACACCACTCCAAAGAGGTTAATTCTTCTAGCAATGAAAGGTAGTGTAAGATTTGGAAACGGTTTTGGAAGACTATGTTGGGTTGGTAAAAAGAATACAAACAAAAGTCTGGTGTATATAAGAGAGGACAATTATATCTATTGGTACGAGACATTTGAGATGAAACAAAAAATAAAGTCCAAAGTGAACAATATCATATCATTGTGAGACCGCAATTCACCTATTTTACATGTACAGGTTTGTTTGAAAGGTATGGAAAATCTTTATTTACAATCAAAACTATTGACAAAAAATAAATTAGGTCTTGGGTCAAAGTTAAAAGTCAGCACAAAATGCATTTGAGAATGAATCATGGGGAAAATTGCATACATCGTWCCTGAGTTTTATATTTTACAGAAATTTGGATTAAAATTATATTATTTATTTTATATATATTATCGTACATTATTTTAATCATTATTTGTTTTAGGCCTAATTTTATGAATAATGTTATTTAAAGAATAAATTACAAAAATAACGTAGATTTAAAATTATGAACAGTCGTAAGGCGAATTTAGGGCCGCTACCTCAAATGATGAGGTTGATGGAAATCGCGTAAATATATACGAAGATACCTTTTCATTAACAGGTGATTAAACATTAAATTAAAATAGATCGAATTAGTTAAAAATTATTCAAATAGGTCCAAAAATATTTCAACTATGTCAGATACATATAAAAATAATTATTATAATACACACAAGATTCACAAAATCGGCCCAAACAAAATATAAAATTAAAAAACCCCGAATCAATCCAAACAATATAAAATATAAAAACTATCAAATTAGTCTAATATAAAATATAAAAATAATTAAGAATACTCACGGAATCATCCCAACCATATAAAATATTAAAACAATAAATATAACAAGCCAAAATCTTTTTAAAAAAATAAACAAATTCAAAATTAGTTTAACATAATTCCCACCAATCCAATATAAACCAATACTCACCAAATTAGTTTATAACAGTAAAAAGCATACCAAATAGAAAAAGCAAAACCATACATAAAAAATAAGTGACTTGTTCATTTATTTTCTAAATCTAAATAATTGAAAAGCATACTTTTAAAAAGAGATTAGTTCGATGAAGGCACCTATATCAATAAGATCATGAATTCGAATTTATAAAAAAAAAAATCGAAACAAAAAAAGCCGCGACCTAGGTGTGAAGGGGAGGAAATCACAGTCATGACGCGATTTTCTGTTGACTTACAGATTTTAGTGTCGCAATAGCGGCTGTTATTTTTGTAATTGTTTCCAAATACATTATTGAAAAAAAGCCTTTCTAAAATTCAAAATTTTCTCCAAAAAGAAAAAATTCATTTTTGAATTTCTAAGAGTGTTTTTTTGTTAACCTTTCTTTCTCTTTCTCTAATAAGTAATATTTTAGAAATATAAATCTAAGAAAAATTTCAGAAACTATTCTTATGAAATTAAAAAAGTTAAATAATTACTTTTTATAATAAAATGATCTTTTCAAAATTTTGTTTTTATTAAAAAAAATAGAAAACAAGAATCATTAATCTAACATTATCAATATTATTCAAGTACAAAAATTAAAATTAATCATAAAATACTTTTTAGTTTTAGAAAACAAAAAACCAAAACCATTTGAATTTTTATGTTCTAAAAAAATGTTCTTTAGAAGTGATTTTCTACTTGTCCAAAATAAAATAAAATAAAGACGTCAATTCTCTTTTTTGAAAAAGTTTCGGAGGTCTATTTTTCAAAATAAAATTTTAAGGTCTATTTTCAAAATTTTCAAATTCACTGGTAACCCTCCTCTCCGAAGTAAGGACAGTCAAAATTTTTAAAAGAGGTAAAATCCCTCCTAACTTTTGGTTCAAATAATCTTACGGATTTATAAATTTTGAAACAAATTAAAAGAAAAACGTTATAATCTTAATTTTTTTTAATATAATATGTGGGGTCTTACAACTTCTTAGTTGGAGTTATATGTCAATTACCGCTCAACTTTACTCGCTTTTAAAATCTTAAATTTTCAATAATCTAAAACAAATTAAATGGGAGATAATAATGATCGATGCATTTAACTATATCATTAGAAATATAAGCATATTCTTTTCCTTGTTGCAACGGCTTGGTTTATTTATTTTAACGATTTAATCTGTCCTTGGAGATTTTGTCGCTTCTTCTTTAACGATAAAGTATTCAAATTATTCGGCGTTGTAATTTTCAAGATTTACTTTGAACAAAAATATGAGTTTCCACAGAGATTCTTTTCATTCTCTTTGTTACCACTCAGATTTACACAAATTATTTTTCCAACTTTCAATTGTCTAAATATTATCATCATTCTTTTGCTCAATATTTATTTTGTTAGTTTTAACATATACTGTGTAAAATAAAAACTTTAGTTTTCCAAATATAATGTGTATTTTTAAATATGTCATCACTTTTCTTTAATTTTTTTTAATAATGCGTTTTTATCTCATAATTAAGTTTTGAGTTTGATTTGAATCCTATATGTGCTATATTTGGAAATAAATATTTTAATTTTAGGTTATTTTTGTAATGGACTCTTTTAAAATAAAGAGTGATTTTGTATCCTCCAAGAAGGAAGAGTGGTGCCAAAGATAGCTCAGTAGAAGAGTGATTTTGTATATTATAAAAACAAGTCATATGTATCGATGAGTTTCAAATTTTATTTTTGAGTTTAACAATATTGACAAAATTAGGGTAGTTAGTCAAAGTCAAAAATCGTGGACAATGTACATATTCTACACATGGTAGGTGATGTGGACTAAATCGTGTACGTCGTACGCGATTTCAATGAAATTGCCTACAACGTACACGATTTAGGTAAGTCGTGTATGTTGTACACACGATTTACCTTAAATCATATGTACGTGACTACGTGGTACTCGAGTATTGAACTCGTGTACATTGTACACGATTTAAGGTAAAACGTATACAATGTACACGAGTTCACCCAATATTTTTTTTTATGTTATTTATTCTTTAAAACCATAACAATTTGCGGGCTGAATTCGAAAAGTATTCCTACAAACTTAAATTTAACTTCAATTACAAACTAAAATTTTGAAAACCCTATAATTTTACCGAGTTTTATTAGAAAAATATTTTATGAGAGTAGAACATCAAACAACTAATTTTTTCCTCATATTTGAATCACTTCAATAATTTAAGGTTCATTTGATAATATTCTCACTTTGTTTTTCATTCACTAACTATTACTGTTTCTTGTTTCTTATTTTTAAGAAATAACAAAATCAAACACTTTTTTTCCGTCCCCATCTTTTTCCAAAACACAAATAAATGCATTATTTTAGCATTAGTGACTTATAAAATGCAAATAAATACTAAAAAGTAAATAATATAGCTTAAAAATTTTGAATATTTAATTTAAAATGAATTTTCATATAAAATTTCACTTTTTTTTTAATTTTAAAATTGTAGAAAACAAGCAACCAAAAAATGGTTATTATATATATATAGAAAAGAAAAAGATGAGAAAACAAGAGATAGTTACCATATATAATTATGTTGCTCTTTATTGAAAAAAAGAAAAAACTAGAACCAAGAGATATTGGGTCTGGTTGGTAACATTATATTTCTTTATTTTCGTTTTCATCTTTAATAAAAGAAAATAGAATTGTATGATTCTAACCTCTAAAATGATAAAACAAAACTAATTATAAACGAAAATAAGAAACGAGAATATTACCGCTCTTCATATCACCCAATAACAGTTAGTAACCAAGACATTTCTATTTTTTCACACTTCTATGTTCAAATCCTCATCCTAATATTAATATTATAAAAAAATAAAAAAAAAACAAAAAAACAAGAAGAACAGACATTAAAGTAGTGAGATGGACCCCTACAAAATTATGGGTTTGTACTGAAAATACTCAGATCCAGCAGCACACACATTCTTTTCTTCAGACAAGAAAAATTAAATTTGGTTTCCTTCTGACTCTTTCCCTTTTTATCTCTTCTTGAAGATCTCTCTATGTATAAATATAGCTTCAAAAATCAAATTAACAACACAAGCAAACAATTTCACCAGCTTCTTTCTTCTTCTTTTTCTTCTCTCTGCACCCAAAACCATGGCTACTGGACTCAAGGCACCCACCACTGCATCTGAATTGCTCCATTCTAAGCAGCCCTCCACCCCCAAGGAGGAGTTGAGCATGAAGCATTACTCCGACGACCTCGTCACTGGCCACATTTATGCCAAACATCGCTACGATGACACAACCAAAATCGACATTGACAATTACATCTCAGTTATAGAAAACATTATCGCTACCGCTGATCGAATCACTGAAACTGTTCATCGGGTACTACAGTTTATATATAAAAGAATTATAATTTTCTTTGTTTTAGTCCATTTAAAATCATTTTCAATGAATGATGTGATTAATTTATATCATATCTATGCAGGGAACTGAAGGACGTTTGATACATTCAGACGACTCTTTGGCTGCATCTAACGTCG